ATGGAAAGTATTCTGTTAAAACTTTAATTGGGTGTAAATTCTGATAACATATCATGAGGTCATGATCTCATTACAGTTCTAACCGAACTTCTGTAAGAGTTTTGAAATTGTCATATTTGGTGTATTACCGAGTGGTCTAGTAGCCGTATAATGGAAACTATTGCGTTAAAACTCTAATCGGTTGTAAATTCTGATAACATATCATGAGATCATGATCTCATGACAGTTCTAACCGAGCTTATGTAGAGAGTTGATATCAGAAGAAAGAGATGAGATTAAATGTGATGAGATCACGCAGTCCACGGACATTATGACACTTTTGAAACTGTCATAAGGTCTATGAACTATAGCGCTTTTTGTTGTTTGTTATGACCTGCCATCAATCCAAATACATTCGCCTTAATCAACTGGTATTAGAACTGATCCAAAACTAAAGAATGAAATATGCGAAAGTGTACAATAAATATTGTACACTTAAGTTGAAACCCGGAGACCATGTTATACTATTGTAATGGATTAAGCTGCTAAATCTGCATCAGACCTCAGAATTTCTCCATCACATTTAGGATTCGAGATATCTTGTACTGAAGTTTAAAGACATTCCATTTTAGGACCTTTGAAAGCATAAAAACTCATGATTTTCGGTATATTGATGGTATTTAAACCCTACAGTCTTATAAGGCGAAGGTTTATAACGTACAAAAACATTGGATCCACACCTACCTAAGGATGTTCCAGTCGACTCAAAATCACTTTCTGATTCGATTTCAGTTTAGCAGTTTAATCAGTTTAGCATCAAGCATTAGGAAAAGATATCTCGAAGAAGATGTTGCCTTTATTTTGAAGCTGTCAGAATGGACTTTCAGATGACATACATGTATACTTTATAGATAAAGTTGTCCAAGTGCTGTTGTAACGTCTCGAAAAATACCTAAAATTACTTTTTTTCAACCTTTAGGACACAATATCTCGAATCCCGGATGTGATGACGAAATTCTGAGGCTAGATTCGGCGCGACTCAATTCTTTTGAAAAGTATACATTGGTCTTTGGTTCAAAAATTTGTCAGCCTGTGTTATATTTCATCGATATTAAGGATAAGCAAGATCAGCTATTGACTTCTGCAAGAGGCAAAGCTAAAGCTCGTTTTTGGCGACTATACGTGACCAACGATTAGTACAAATGCTTGCAGATCGATTTTTATATAGACGAGATTTTAATACTCTTCAACTTTCAGCCCTCGTTTACCTCAAACAACTGTAAATCTTTACATGTCTATAACTTAAATATGTACATATGTATTTATATTATCCCCCCAAAAATTGGCCTTTCATATACAATAATATATAATGAAACAGGAAAAAAAAACCTAAATAGACTTATTTGTTAAAAGTTTAAGCAAAAAAACAGTTAGAATTTCAGTTTTTTAAAACACACATGTGTGTTTGAGTAGAAATATAAATTTGTTCTTAATACAAGTTTGTAGCCTGTGGCATAAATTTTGATTTTTTTTCTCTGTGCAATTGTTAAATGCATTTTTCATTCTTATGTGCTATTCTTTTTCCTTTAAAGAATAAAAAAAAGAAGTTCTTCCTCTCTAAAAGTTTATTACTTTTACTTCCAAAACACATCAGACATGTGCCTCTTGTCTTTTTGGTTTGTTTGGGCTGTTGCTTTCGGTATTTATTACGTATGGCATGTTTAGTTTAGTTTTCTTAAGAAGTTTTATTTTAAATTTTCTTTTTGTTTAGTATTTATTATTTTGAAAAATTGTTGTAAATAATTCAAAAGAATAACATGTTAAATTACTGGGGGCTGTTAGAAATGGCATGTGTTGTTTTTTTAAATAACATTTGATATTGATGCTTTAATCGTTTTTGGAACTATAAAGGTTCTAAAGGAAATTGTATCGAAGATGCCTTTTGGAAATTACTTAAAATTTTTTACTTTTTTTGGTTTTACAACTATTACAATATAGAGTTTCATTTAAACTCCCATTTAAAGTTTCCTATTAACGCCAATAATTTAATTTGTGATATTTTGACATTTCATTTGCGAAAGTGAAAAATTTTGCATTAATCAGGTTCAATAATAGTTCTTTACATACAACTTTTGACAGTTCACTTGTAAGATTGAAAATACAATTTAAGCATTAACATGAGCTGCCTAAATGTTTTTAAATATAAACTTTCCTTTATTCTCTTTAATTTTTGTAAACTCCCTTTTTTGTTGAAAAAAAAATTATTAATGTTATTTTCCTGTTAATTTTTTTTAATAATCAGTTTCTATTCATGGTTAATCAAAACGACATTTAATTTTATGTTTAAACACAAATTGTAATTTGTATTTCTTTTTTTTGAGAATCTGCTGTATAAGTCTAACTAACATGATTTTAGATAAGATCTGCCTTGTTTATAGTTTTTTTCTACAACCATTTGCTTTAATTAAAAATGTAATTAATTTTCACTTGTATGAAGAACAGCAGCAGCACAGCACCATCACTAACAAGTGTAAGAATTTATTTTGTGTTGTACAAAAAAAAATAGATAAATAATGGAACAGAAGAAAAGTACTAAAAAATGGGTGTAAAATTTATGATGATGGTGAAATCAAGAAACATTTAGGAGTTCTAAAAAGAAGGTTGTAGAGTCGAAAATTGGTCAAATATAAAAGGCAATAATTTTAATATATCTTCAGTGTAGAAGCAATAGTAGTCGGACGGGGAAAGGTCTCGACATAAAGCAACACGTAAATGCTTGTTTCAAAACCCATTACTAGCCTTCAGTACAGATTTCATGTGATAGTCATCGCAAGTGTGGATTCGATCCAACAAATATGATCTTTTATAACGTTCAATTAGGATATACCAAATCGATTTTGAAGTTTTTCTCAACACTAATTCGTACTGTAACCAATTTCCCAGATTTCTGATAGTTTTAAAACTGCTATCGGCAAAGAGTGCCAAATATAGTCTATAGTCTAGTCTAGTCTAGTCTATAGTCTAGTCTATAGTCTAGTCTATAGTCTAGTCTATAGTCTAGTCTATAGTCTAATCTATAGTCTAGTCTATAATCTAGTCTATAGTCTAGTCTATAGTCTAGTCTATAGTGTAGTCTATAGTCTAGTCTATAGTGTAGTCTAAAGTCTAGTCTATAGTCTAGTCTATAGTCTAGTCTATAGTGTAGTCTATAGTCTAGTCTATAGTGTAGTCTATAGTCTAGTCTATAGTGTAGTCTATAGTCTAGTCTATAGTCTAGTCTATAGTCTAGTCCTATAGTCTAGTCTATAGTCTAGTCTATAGTGTAGTCTATAGTCTAGTCTATATAGTCTAGTCTAGACTCTAGTCTATAGTCTAGTCTATATCTAGTCTATAGTCTAGTCTATAGTCTAGTATATAGTCTAGTATAATAGTCTAGTATATAGTCTAGTCTATAGTCTAGTCTATAGTCTAGTCTATAGTCTAGTCTATAGTCTAGTCTATAGTCTAGTGTATAGTCCAGTCTATAGTCTAGTCTTGTAGTCTAGTCTATAGTCTAGTCTATAGTCTGTTTATAGTCTAGTCTATAGTCTAGTCTATAGTCTAGGCTATAGTCCTATCTATAGTCTAGTCTATAGTCTAGTCTATTGTCTAGTCTATAGTCTAGTCTATAGTCTAGTCTATAGTCCTAGTCTATAAGTCTAGTCTATAGTCTAGTCTATAGTCTAGTCTATAGTCTAGTCTATAGTCTAGTCTATAGCCTAGTCCATAGTTCAGTCTATAGTCTAGTCTATAGTCTAGTCTATAGTCAGTCTATAGTCTAGTCTATAGTCTAGTCTATAGTCTAGTCTTAGTCCTAAGTCTATAGTCTAGTCTATAGTCTAGTCTATAGTCTAGTTTATAGTCTATAGTCCTAGTTTATAGTCTATAGTCTAGTCTATAGTCTAGTCTATAGTCTAGTATAACGTCTAGTCTAAAGTCTAGTCCATAGTCTAGTCCATAGTCTAGTCTATAGTCTAGTCTATAGTCTAGTCTATAGTCCAGTCTATAGTCTAGTCTATAGTCTAGTATATAGTCTAGTCTATAGTCTAGTCTATAGTCTAGTATATAGTCTAGTCTATAGTCTTTTCTATAGTCTAGTCTATGGTCTAGTCTATAGTCTAGTCTATAGTCTAGTCTATAGTCTAGTCCAAAGTCTAGTCCATAGTCTAGCCTAGAGTCTAGTCTATAGTCTAGTCTATAGTCTAGTCTATAGTCTAGTCTATAGTCTAGTCTATAGTCTAGTCTATAGTCTAGTCCTAAGTCTAGTCCATAGTCTTGTCTAGTCTATAGTCTAGTCTATAGTCCTAGTCTATAGTCTAGTCTATAGTCTAGTCCTATAGTCTAGTCTATAGTCTAGTCTATAGTCTAGTCTATAGTCTAGTCTATAGTCTAGTCTATCTAGTCTAGTCTAGTCTATAGTATAGTCTATAGTCTAGTCTATAGTCTAGTCTATAGTCTAGTCTATAGTCTAGTCTATAGTCTAGTCTATAGTCTAGTCTATAGTCTGGTCTATAGTCTAGTCTATAGTCTAGTCTATAGTCTAGTCTATAGTCTAGTCTATAGTCCTAGTCTATAGTCTAGTCTATAGTCTAGTCTATAGTCTAGTCTATAATATAGTCCATAGTCTTGTCTGCAGTCTAGCGGAAATTAGTTTAGTCGTAAATTTCCCATGCCTGATACAAGTGCAAGTTTACGAATATGTAGAGCTCTTGCCTATCTCTGCTTAAAATATTATATCGTTTTGTGTTGCATCTCTGTTAGAAAGCCGACAATGTTCATGTCATGTTCCTATGTTCTCTAAGGAGTGAAAAGCTAAAACGACAATGTATTAGTGCAACTAACTATTCATCCAGCCAAGCATTATTATTTCGTGAGAGTTACGTTTGTTTGAGAATCCTCTTTTAAATATTTCATGATTTTAAAATGTTATTATAATTATTTAATTTTCTCTTAAATAAAGATATTCTTTTGTCAATACTTACAATCACCCCTACTCTCCTCAATATCCAGTATATATTTGTTTGTCCCGTTTCCACTTCACACATTGTGATTTGCCCAAAATACCAGCAACTTTGTGACATTTTAAGAGCAAAACAAAAACTAAATATAAAGCTGATAAATATGTTATGCGTTGATGGCAGGTGTTGAGAAGATTTTTGTGGTGCTGCTGGAAGACATGTTGAGTTAAAACTAAAAAAATAAAATGAAAATAAAGGAGATAAAAAATAAGAAATAAAACATAGAAAATGATAAAAATTTAAATAAAAAATAAATGCAAAAATTTAAACAATATTTTTAAAATTAAAAAAAAAAAAACATTCATAAATAAATCAATCTTGCCCGATTTGATGTCTTTCCGTCGGTATATATGTCCGTCTTTCCTTGTAAAAATTTG